GCACCGCTTGTCCAGCCATGCTGAGGCCACGTCCCACATACAGCAACTATAAGGATGTGCAACTATGACATACAACTATCTACTGGGGCTTTGGGGGAAAAAATAAATAAATAAAACTATAAAAAAAATTATAAATATGTAACCCATATTTAGAAAGGGCAGAAGTCAAATAACTGTCACAAACCAAACCCACCTGTGTAACCACAGTCCTGTTTCGGTCCCCTGGAAGCCACCCTATGCCCTGCCAGTCACTCCCGCCCGCAAAGGCAGCCAGCGGCTGAACCACGTTCTGTTCCCACAGCTTGAACGGCTATGCCGGTCCTAGACCTTCATACAAGAGTGTCTTGGCTTCTTCACTCCGCATAACGCTTTTTTTTTGAGACTCATTCAGGCTGCTGCACTTACCAACAGTTCATGCCTTTTTATTGCTGAGGATATTGTACGCACCACAATTGGGGCTGAACTATTCACCCACTGATGGACACTGGGTTGCTTCCAATTTTTGGCCACTGCAAAGAAAGCTGCTATGAACATTGGTATACACATCTTTGTGGCTTTTTTTCCTTTTTTGGTAGTTTTATTTTTCTTGCCTAGATACCAAGGAGTAGAATGGCTGGGTCGTATGGTACATGCCCACTGAACTGTATAAGAAACTACCCGACCTTTTTCCAAGGGGTTGTGCCATTCAAATGGCACAACATTTCCACCAGCAGTATAGGAGGGCCCCATCTGCTCCAGATCCTCGCCAACACTTGCTATCATCAGTCTTTTTAGTTTTAGCTATTCCGGCTGGTGTATAATGGTATATCATTGAATTTTAATTTGCAATTCCCTGATGGCTTCAGTCTTTTTATCCGCTGCGTGACGTTCTCTCCTGTGACCGTTCCATCTTGTCGTATGCACTCCTCTGCTGGTGGACACGTCCATCTCCCCCGTGGTTTGCAATAACTCTCAAAGCTGCAGGGAACACCCTTAGGCGAGTACTCTCCACGCACACACGCCTGCGGTGGCTTCTCCGGCGTCCGTGGCAGAGAGGACTTGCACAGAGCGAACACGGTTTGGATTTCATCTTTCTGCCAGAGAACATTCTAACCCACGGCCTCTGCTCACCCCACTTGGTGTTACCAAACTCTAAAATTACTCTTGCCAACCTGATGAATGAAAAATGGCATCTTTCTGTTTACTGGCACACAGCCGGCGCTCAATATCTATTTGGCGAATGAATGGGTGGATGGATGGATGGATGAGCGAGGTCTTCTCCTTGCCCACCAAACGCCCCGGGAGAGTCTACGGCGAGCCCAGATGGGAAACAAAGGTTAGGGCTCCACCCACTCCGGAGCCAGGCCACGCCCAGGGACCCAAAAGAGGGGTGTCCTCCACCATCCTGCCAGCCCCTTGCTCAGCAGGTGACCCAGGGGGATCGGGGGCACTGCCAGGCCCTCACCCCAGCCCAGGCCCCGTTGAACCTCCAAAGGGTCCGTCTTCTGGGACCCTGGGATGTTTTCAGACAGTAAATAGAACCCCAAAGCCTGGACCCAGCACCATAGAATCTGAAACTAAGGCCTGTTTGGCTGAAAAATTCATGAGCTCAAAAGCTTCAGTGGGGTCAGAGAACAGAACAGCTCTGTGTGCCCAGCTGCCTCACTTCAGCTGCCACCTCCCCCGTCCCCAGGGGCTGTGGCCTGCCCCAGTTCCTCTTAGATGACAGCATGGCCCAGCCTCCCCTCCAGGACCCTGCCTGTAGGCACCCCCTTCCATCCCTTCTCCACACCACGAAAGGGATCTCGCTGAAACTCAAGCTCCTACGGCCCTCCCTCACTCTCACACTCCCCATGGCTCCCCATTGCCATTAAGTTGCCTTGCCTCACAGTTAGACCTTTGCTGACCTCTCCCACGAGGCACTGCCCCAAACACGCTGACTTCTCTAATTTCACTTCCTCTTTTTCTCTCTTTCTTCCGGCGCCTGACCCCTCAGCACACTGAGGCCTGCCCTTTTTTTCTTCTCCATCTCATCCTCAAGTCTCCTCTTGCGAAGCCCTCTGTGACCTCCCACCCCATGTCTAGGTCAGATCCCTCCTCTGGGCTTTCTCAAGTGCCCCGTGCTCTCCTGTCACAGCGGCGTTGCACGAGATTTTTAAAAATCTATTAAAAAAACACTTTTATTGTGGTAAAATATATAATATAAAATTTACCATTTTATCCATTTTAAGTGTACAGTCCAGTGGGATTAACCACATTCACATGGTTGTGCAACAATCCCCTACCATCCATCTCCAGAACTTTTTTCATCTTTCAAAACTGAAACTCTGTACCCAATAAACACTAACTCCCCATTTCCCTCCCCAGCCCTGGGACCCCACCATCCTACTTCCTGTCTCTATGAATGTGACTCCTCTAGGGACCTCCTGTAAGTGGAATCACAGAGTACTTGTCCTTTTGTGATTGGCTTGTTTAAATCAATTTTCTGAGATACAGTTTTAATTACCCAAGAAGCATTTGAGTACCTTTTCTCGTTAAAGAGAGAGAGAACATTATAGCTCAGGGGAAAATCCCTTTTGCCCCCCTCCTCCCTACTGGTCCTTCTGACAATCACTGGTGTGTTCAGGTCTTTTTCTGATTCTTACCAGCAGATGTGTG